ACTCCAACTCGAAAAAAAAAAAAAAAAATTAGCCGGACATGCTGGCGCCCGCCTGTAGTTCCAACTACTTGGGAGACTAAGGCAGCCCAGCAGGTTGAGGCTTCGGTGGCCGAGAACATGCCTGGGCCACGGAATGAGACTTCAACTCAAAAACAAATAAAAATCTCAGATAGTGGGCTGTCTTCCAGGAGGCTCTCAAAGAGGAGGGAGGGGTCTGGGGCGGCTGGATCCCTCACCCCAGTTGCCTCCAGGGAGTCCTGTCCATTTCTTTTTTTTTTTTTTGAGTTGGAGTCTCACTCTATTACCCAGACTGGAGTGCAGTGGCCGCTCCCGGCCACCGCTTCACCCTTTTTTGAAGAAGCTATCAAAGATGAGCTCCACCAGAATGAGGAAGTAGTCCAAGAAAAAGGACATGGGCTAGGGCTAGAGGGGATTCTGAACCAGAGAGAAGATAAGGGAACTCTGGGAGAGGAGGACTGCTCCCGCCTAGAGGGCAGCCATGATTCAGGAGAGACTGCCATGACTGCCATGACTCAGGAGAGAGCCATGCCAAAGGCAACAGACTGGCCTCAGGCATGAAGACCAACTAGCCAGGTGTGCTAGGGTGAAAGAAGTCAAGCCCTGCTCCCCAAATCACCTGGGGACACTGATAACCTGCCAGGTATGTCGACCTCCACCTGTTGCAGCTGTGATCAGTCTAGAGGCAGAAAATCCAGAGCAGTCCATGCCCTTTGACCATGCTCCTGTTGGTCAGCCAGAGTGTCACTCACACTACGCCATGTGACAGTCCCCAGATGGGTTCTGGGGAACCTGAGTGAGGAAGCTCCACTCAGGTCATCTTCAGGGAACATGTGTCACGGGACATTACTGCCCTTCCCTTACAAAGCTAGGGCTGTGCTTGTGCCTCAGTTTCTCAAAATTAGACAGTACATTTCTTAGAGATTCACAGATAGGTAAGACAATTAAAAAGAAGTGCAAGGGAGTGAGTACCACAAAGGTTGGGATCTTGGTTATCTCTGGGGAGGAAGCCGGAAAGGACAGGGAATGTGCCGAGGGGACTTCTGAGGTGCTTGTTCTGTTTTTTCCTTTTGAGTCAGAGTCTCACCCTGTCTCCCAGGTACACTCACAGCCACCGCAGCTTCGACCTGCCAGGCTCAGGTGATCCTTCTGCCTCAGCCTTCCAAGTAACTGGAACTACAGATACATGCCACCATGCCCAGCTAATTTTTTTATTTATCATAGAGATGAGGTCTCACCAAGTCGCCCAGGCTGGTCTCAAACCCCTGGACTCAGGCAATCCTCTTGCCTTGGCCTCCCAAAGTGCTGGGATTACAGCCTTGAGCCTCAGTTCCCAGCCTTGTTCTGTTTCTTAACCCAATTGTGGGCACATGAGGTCTACTTTATTTTTTTTAATTTTTTTTTTTCACAATTTTACGTATTTATCTTACTCATGTCAGCGAAAAAAATCAACAACTACTATATAAAAACAGGACAAATTATGTCGCAAAAAAAACCAGAAAAAACTTCATAAAAAATATATCCAACTAGAAGAAGTACTGCTCTCTTGTTGTCTTCACATCCTTCTCTTCTGTGTGCTGATGTACAACACATTGTTTCCTCTGATAAATGCATCCCCGTACTTATCCTTCAGCTGGCCATTCACATATTCTTCTGTCTGCTCCAGGGCGATATTCATGTAGCCACCCAGGCAAGCCAGGACCCCTCGATAATCCACTCCAGAATTTAATTTTACCACAACTGGCGGCCGGGTGATTTGCTTTAAGAAGTCACTAGGGGTTTGCTTCCGAAGACGCATTTTAACAATCTCAGGAGGCAGGAAACCTGAGTTCTCATCCCAGCTCTGCTACTTAATTGCTGTGTGACTTGGGTAACTCATCATTTCACCTCTCACGGCCCCAGGTTTCTCATCTCGCGGCTGGGATCCGGAACCCTTGCTCACAAGCCCAGCCTCCGCGGACCAGCGCAGCCCAAACCGAAACCCAGAGGTCTACTTTATTATTCTTTAAACTGCACATACACAGATTATGCCCCTTTATGATATACTTTACCATAAAACAATTTTTTTTTTTTGAGTCGGAGTCTCACTCTGTTGCCCAGACTGGAGTGCAGTGGCCGCTCTCGGCCACCGCAGCCTCGACCTGCTGGGCTCCGGCGATCCTTCCGCCTCAGCCTTCCAAGTAGCTGGAATTACAGACGCGTGCTACCACACCCGGCTAATTTTTTTTTTGTATTTATTGTAGAGATGAGTTCTCACCAAGTTGCCCAGGCGGGTCTCGAACCCGCAGGCTCAGGCAGTCCACTCACCTCCACCTCCCAAAGCACTGGGATTACAGGCTGAGCCACCAAGCCTGACCAAGAAAAATAACTTTCGACTGAATAATTGACTGAGATAAAAATGATTATGTTCTAAATTATACAGATAATTTTATGACTGGCTGCAGCCTTAGCTAGCAGAAAGCAAAAGCAAGGTCTGTAAATGCTGGCTTCCTGCCAACCTTGACTCACAGAGCAAATGAACTCACCCTCGAGTATGGGTGACCCAGACATGCATCTGTGCCTATCTCGTTCTCAATAAAATATGTTTTGAGAATTGCTTGAGGAAAAAATACAAAAACAGCAACAACAACAAAATGGAAAAACAACAACAAATGATCCCTTTCCCCCCCACACTTTCCACTTTTTTTTTCCTTCCTCTGTAGCCAAGTCCAGCCAGCTGGTAAACTGGCCCATTAAAATTAAAATTTAGCCGGGCTCGGTGGCTCAGCCTGTAATCTTGTGCCTTTGGGAGGCTGCGGTGAGTGGATTGCCTGAGCCCGCGGGTTCGAGACCCGCCTGGGCAGCAAGACCTCATCTCTACAATAAATAAAAAATTCAGCCGGGCGTGGTAGCGCACACCTGTAATTCCGGCTACTTGGAAGACTGAGGCGGAAGGATCGCCAGAGCCCAGCAGGTCGAGGCTGCGGTGGCCGGGAGCGGCCACTGCACTCCAGTCTGGGCGACAGAGTGAGACTCCAACTCAAAACAAAAAAAAATGAAAATTTAGGCCGGGCACGTTGGCTCACGCCTATAATTCTAGCACTTTGGGAGGCCAAGGTAAAAGGATTGCCTGAGGCTGCGGATTCGAGACCAGCCCGAGCAATTTGGCGAGACCTCATCGCTGCTATAAATCAAAAAATTAGCCGGGCCTGGTGGCGTGTGCCTGTAGTTCCACCTACTTGGAAGGTTGAGGTGGAAGGATCACTTGAGCCCAGTAGGTTGAGGCTGCGGTGACCATGAGCATGCCACTGCCCTCCAGCCTGGGTGACAGAGTGAGACTCCTACTCAAAAAAAAAAAAAAAAAAAAATTAAATTAAAGTTTACCAGGGGTAGGGGTTGCCAGTAATGGGAAACTGCCAGGGGAGGAGAAGCACACCTCATCAACAAGGGTACCTGCATAAGGAACATGGTATACCTAACCCTGAATTGTACCCCATAGCTTTAAAATAAATAATTTTTTTAAAAAATTTACTCTAGTGGACTTTACAGGAATTTTTTTTTTTTTTTAACCTGCGGAAGAGCTAGAGAATGGCATTTTGAAGTCAGGAGGTACTGCTGACTGTCCTGGGCAAGGGACATTGCGTGATTAAGCAGCAAGGCAAAATTCCAGGAGCCCTTCTTACCTCTGCTTAGCACATAATTAAGTTGGGGGAAAAAAAAGAAAGGGCCAGGATTATTGTACTTCAGATCTCAAATCTGAAGGAGCCTGTATTTATTTTCACCTGGGACCTGAAAAATACATTCAGGTGGCAGATTAAAAATCAAACCAAGTTCATTTCAGATGATTCTAATTATTTTTTAATTAGCATCATGACACAATATAGTAATTTGCAGTTCTTAAGCCACTTGTACCCTGAAATTAGAAGCTGCAAAGGCAGTAATGTTAGTGGGAGGAGAGGTTTCATTAATTCCTTCAACAAATATTTATTGACTGGCAGCTGTGCTGGTTGGTGGCAGTTTAGCTGAGAGCCAAACCAAGGTCCCTCCCCCGCAGACCTTTCTAGAGGGAAGAAGGTGTAAACCCGTCGTCGTTAAATCCAAATACAGATATATGTATTTATGTACATGCATATATATGCATATAATAATAAGTGATACATGCTGTGAAGAAAAATTAGGGAGTCGAGTGTGTGTGAGCAGGGATGGTTATTTTCTAAAGACTGGCCAGGAAAGGCCTTGTCTGGAGGTGTAAGTGAGCGGTTCAGCTTCTGGGAAGAAGATTGTGCTGGGCAGAGGGAGAGACAAGGGCTACCTTTCTGCATTCCTTAAGGTCACAGTTGGAGGGTAACATTCAGCCTCTACTCCTCAGGGGCTCCCTACCGTAACCCTCAAGAGCCCAGGATTTAAATGCCTGGCAGTCAAAGATAACACCCCTCCCCTGAGACACCTCCAGTGGCGAGATGGCCGGGGCTATAATTACAGAACCACCAAGCTGACTTGAAAGTCGGTTCGGGGCCGGGTGCGGTGGCTCAGCCTGTAGTCCCAGCACTTTGGGAGGCCGAGGCGAGAGGATTGCCTGAGCCCAGGGGTTCAAGACCAGCCTGGGCAATTTGGCGAGACCTCGTCTCTACAATAAATCACAAAAAAATTAGCCGGGCTTAGTGGTGTGCATCTGTAGTTCCAGCTACTTGGGGGGCTGAGGCAGAAGGATCACCTGAGCTCAGCAGGTTGAGGCTGCGGTGGCTGTGAGTGTGCCACCGTACTCCAGCCTGGACAATAAGTGAGACTTCAACTCAAAAAAAAAAAAAAAAAAAGGTCGATTAGGGAGCTACCCGCTATCCTAGGAAGAGGCTGGTCAGGTGTCGTTTTTCATACGGTTTTGCTGAAGCACTGGTGCAAATGTTGAGACAGGACACAGCTGAAAGAAAATTCCAGCACTTGGCTTCTGGTTAGGCTTCTCTACCTGAGGGCCGTTTTGCCTCTTGGGGTCTGTGATTCTGTGAGTGAAGGTGGGTGACTGGGAAGGACAGGACAAGGAACACAGACCCACTTCCTGTTAACATTTGCTCATGGACTACAACCACCTCGACCCATCTGACAGAGAAAACCTTACAAGCAAGTGGTATAGAAACCTGCATGGCGGTGGTCTGCGAGAGGTGGGATTACAGATGGCTTGTACACCTTTGTGCCACCTTTCTGTGAATTTCTACAAATGAACAACAGGAAAATAAAGTGAACACAGCTATCCCCAAGCAGATTGGCTGCTCCCCTTCCCTAAGCTGGCCATTCCATCCGAGGTCTTACGCCTGCCCCTTTCTTGTGCTCACCCACAGCCTCTACTTAAGAAGGCTTAAGTCCTCTCTCCTTTCATGAGTCACTCCTTTTGCCTTGTGACTACACTTGGAGCATTGTTCAAACCTTTCAACTTTCGTAACTGTGCTTTGTTTCCTTAAAGATTAGGAAAAAGATCTTCAGTGGGTAAGACTTGCCCTACTCTGCCACTCTCTAGCCGTGGCCAAGTTCTTTCCATGCATTGTGGTCACTTTCTTCACTGCAAACAGGGGATAGTAGAAACATCTTCCTCCTAGGGCCTTGGATGGGGCGTGCCAATGAGGGGCCCTGAAGTTTAGGCCCGTGGGATTTGGATAGAGAAAGGTGGGGCGAAAGTGAGTGTGACATCAGTGGGGTGGTACAGCAGACCCCTCAGGGCCGCGTCACTTCTCTCTGCCCACTCCAGGCAGTGCCCATCGTGCAGATGCTTTCCTGGGTCTCTGCCTAAGGCCTTTCCGGGCTTCCTCACCCCAGCTGACCAGAAGTGTCCAGGAGCAACCCTCAGCCATAGAGCAGCAGGAGTTGATGAATGTGCACCTCAGCTTCCTCACCTCTCAGAGGGACTTCAGAAATCTTGTACAGTAGCCGGGCTTGGTGGCTCAGCCTGTAATTCCAGCGCTTTGGGAGGCTGAGGTGAGTGGATTGCCTGAGGCCGCGGGTTCGAGACCCGCCTGGGCAACTTGGCAAGACCTCAGCTCTACAATAAATCAAAAATGAGCCAGGCATGGTAGTGCGCACCTGTAATTCCAGCTACCTGGAAGGCTGAGGCGGAAGGATCGCTGGAGCCCAGCAGGTCGAGGCCACGGTGGCCAGGAGCAGCCACTGCACTGCAGTCTGGGCGACAGAGTGAGACTCCAACTCAAAAAAAAAAAAAGAAATCTTGTACAGTAAAATGCAGATACAGAAAAATACACAGAGTAAATGTGCAGCTTAATGAATTACTCTAAGGCAAACAGTGTTCTCTGTGGCCCTTGATGGGACGTTCTGAGGCCTGTTTCACCCAGGCTCTGGTGAGTCAGTGGGGACAGGCCCCGGCTGCCTGCAGTGCTGACCTGCTACCCGGCTGCACACACGTTATCGGCCCGCCTCTTCTAACTTTCTTTTCTCACTGGTTTCCCCACTCCATCAACACACTCCTGGGATCACCTTCCCAATGAGCAGCTTATACCCAAATTCTTGTCTCATGGTCAGTTTTTGGTGAAACTAAACATCAGGCAGCCCTTACAGAAGACGTCTCTAAAGAGATGGCACTAGAGATGGGAGCTGAGCATTGAGAAGGAGTCGGCCGTGCGAGACCTGGTTTAGTGTCCATGCAGAGGGAACCGAGCAGGCCTGGGGGCACAGCAACTTTGGTGAGTGTGCACCGAAAGAAGCCCGTCGTGGCTGGAACATGGAGAGCTGGCATGGGACAGGCGGGCAGGAGCCAGGTCCTCCAGGCTCGCAGTCCCGTGAGTGGCTACGTGAGCAATGTGTGGGTCGTGTGGGATGACCG